AATAACGTCTGATCCGACGGGAGTATTTACAGATCTTTGGAAGTAAAGCCCGTGGCCAGTAACAAGGCAATCTTCTCATGAAGGAGGGACCAGAATGGTCCAGTGTGATGGACCAGGATGGTCCAGTGTGATGACCAAGATGAGCAGTGATGGACCAGGGTGGTGGACCAGGATGGACCAGTGTGGTGGACCAGGGTGAGCAGTGTGGCGAACTAGTGTGGAGCAGGGTGATGAACAAATGTGATGGACCAGTGTGGTGGACCAGGGTGGTGGACCAGTGTGGTGGACCTGGTCTAGACACTATATCAGTGTCTAGACCAGGTCCACTACCCTGGTCCATCACCCTGGTGCAGTCATGCAAAGTAATGTCTAGACGTGAGTAGTCTGTGGTGATTATATTAATCACCACAGACTACTCACGTCTAGACATTACTTAACATGTCTGCACCAGGGACCTGAAACTATTCTCCCACCACCATCATATATATTCACGGTGGAAGCACTAAACCCGCAAGGAGTCAGTAGCCTGACCTCCTCCACCTTACACCTTGCTCAGCTTATCATCACCCATCTTAAATTCCTATGTTAATGCACTACGTTACTGCTTTTATATTATATATATACAGAACAAGCCACACGAGGATGGAAATGTTTAGTTATGGATCTTTCGCACTCTTGTGCGTCGTCAGGAGCTATGCTATGTTGCAAGACGGCAACAGATAGGAGGGAAAATTTCCTGAGGCCAGGCAGAAGGTATCAGTGACGACCCATGGTCCGTCTGTGTGTGTGTGTGTGTGTGTGTGTGTGTGTGTGTGTGTGTGTGTGTGTGTGTGTGTGTGTGTGTGTGTGTTAGTGTGTTACTAGGTCCACACACACCTTGCTACAAGAACATTATCGTACCTCTTCTTAAAGTTATGTATGGATCGTCCGTCTCTCCCTCTCTGCCCTCCACTCACAAAAACATTACGATCTTAAGTTGTTTATGTCTAGCCAGAGTGTATTGTATACCCCAGTACTGAAGGACCTCACAGCAACAGCAGCAGCAACGACAGCAGCAGCAACGACAGCAGCAGCAACGACAGCAGCAGCAACGACAGCAGCAGCAGCAGCAGCAGCAGCAGCAGCAGCAGCAGCAGCAGCAGCAGCAGCAGCAGCAACAGCAGCAGCAGCAGGAGATGGTGACAATTAGTTTTGACCTAAGGGGAGAAAGGGTACCTACATTTCTTTGGATCAAGAGCCCAAAATCAGTATCAAGGCACCTGCCCCTTATTGAAGGTTAATATAGGGATAAGGACTACTCCAGTGTCTCCGTGTGCGTGTGTGTGTGTGTGTGTGTGTGTGTGTGTGTATACTCACCTAATTGTACTCACCTAATTGTGGTTGCAGGGGTCGAGACTCAGCTCCTGGCCCCGCCTCTTCACTGATTGCTACTAGGTCCTCTCCCTCTCTGCTTCCTGAGCTTTGTCATACCTCTTCTTTAAACTATGTATGGTTCCTGCCTCCACTTCCTGACGACTCTATGAATGAAGAAATACTTCCTAACGTCCCTGTGACTCGTCTGAGTCTTCAGCTTCCAGTTGTGACCCCTTGTTTCTGTGTCCCTTCTCTGGAACATCCTATCTCTGTCCACCTTGTCTATTCCCCGCAGTATCTTGTATGTCGTTATCATGTCTCCCCTGACCCTTCTGTCCTCCAGTGTTGTCAGTCCAATTTCCCTCAACCTTTCCTCGTAAGACAATTCCCTGAGCTCTGGGACTAGCCTTGTTGCAAACCTTTGTGCTTTCTCTAACTTCTTGACGTGCTTGACCAGGTGTGGGTTCCAAACTGGTGCTGCATACTCCAATATGGGCCTAACATACACAGTGTACAGTGTCTTGAACGATTCCTTATTAAGGTATCGGAACGCTATTCTCAGGTTTGCCAGGCGCCCGTATGCTGCAGCAGTTATTTGGTTGATGTGTGCCTCCGGTGACGTGCTCGGTGTTATGGTCACCCCAAGGTCTTTCTCCCTGAGTGAGGTCTGTAGTCTTTGTTCACCTAGCCTATACTCTGTCTGAGGTCTTCTTTGCCCCTCCCCAATCTTCATGACTTTGCATTTGGCAGGGTTGAATTCGAAAAGCCAGCTTCTGGACCACATGTCTAGCCTGTCCAGGTCTCTTTGCAGTCCTGCCTCATCCTCATCCGATTTAATTCTTCTCATCAGCTTCACATCATCTGCAAATAGGGACACTTCAGAGTCTATTCTTTCCATCATGTCGTTCGCATATATCAAAAATAGCACTGGTCCTAGAACTGACCCCTGTGGGACCCTGCTCGTCACAGGCGCCCACTGTGATACCTCTTCACGTACCGTGACTCGTTGTTGCCTCTCTGTCAGGTATTCACTGATCCATTGCAGTGCCCTCCCTGTTATATGCGCCTGATCCTCCAGCTTCTGCACTAATCTCTTGTGGGGAACTGTGTCAAAGGCCTTCCTGCAGTCTAGAAAAATGCAGTCAACCCACCCCTCTCTCTCGTGCCTTACTTCTGTTACCCTGTCATAAAACTCCAGAAGGTTTGTGACACAGGATTTGCCTTCCATGAAGCCATGCTGGTTTTCATTTATAATCTTGTTCCATTCCAGGTGTTCCACCACTCTCCTCCTGATAATCTTCTCCATGACTTTGCACACAATACATGTCAGAGACATAGGTCTGTAGTTTAGTGCCTCATTTCTGTTTCCTTTCTTAAATATGGGGACTATATCTGCTGTCTTCCATTTCTCAGGTAGTTGCCCAGTTTCAAGGGATGTGTTGAAGATTGTGGTTAGGGGCTTGCACAGCATCTCTGCTCCTTCTCTAAGGACCCACTGGGAGATGTCCGGTCCCATCGCCTTTGAGGTATCAAGGTCACTTAGCAGCTTCTGCACCTCCTCCTCGGTTGTTCGTATGTCATCCAACACTTGTTGGTATATTCCCTATTGATGTTCCCTTCTGTGCTGTCTTCCCAGAACCCTTCCTGTCTCTACTGTAAAAACTTCCTTAAATCTCCTGTTTAGCTCCTCACATACCTCCTGATCATTTCTTCTGAGTTCTCCATCTTCTGTCCTCAGTCTGATCACCTGGTCTTTGACTGTTGTCTTCCTCCTGATGTGGCTATACAACAGTTTTGGGTCAGTCTTGATTTTCGATGCTATGTTATTTTCATACTGTCGCTGGGCCTCCCTCCTTACCTGTGCATACTCGTTCCTGGCTCTGCGACTAATCTCCCTATTTTCATGTGTTCTCTGCCTTCTGTACTTTTTCCATTCTCTATTGCACTTTGTTTTTGCCTCCTTACACCGTCGGGTAAACCAGGGGCTCGTTCTGGTCTTCCCATTGTTTCTGTTGCCCTTGGGAATAAACCTTTCCACTGCCTCCTTGCATTTTGTTGTTACATATTCCATCATTTCATTTACTGGCTTTCCTGCCAGTTCTCTGTCCCACGGAACCTCCTGCAGGAAGTTCCTGTGTGCGTGTGTGTGTATGTGTGTGTCCTCACCTGGTTGTGGTTGCAGGGGTCGAGTGACAGCCCCTGTATCTGTGACCCAACAATTAATATTTGCACTAATAACTCATTATAGCTGTGACCGGGTGTGAACGTGTGAAATGCTCATTACTTTGTAATTTGTTCATGATTATAACCATGTATAGACATGTTGATGATTCATTGCCTTTGTAACTAGTTCAGCTATCATAACTTTGGGGTCCAGTCCCTGGACCCATTATGTACCTTTGTAATCTTTTGACTACCGCCAACAGGATGGGTATGGGGTGACTGCCGCCCAAAGGATGGGTATGGAGTGACTACCGCTCACAGGATGGGTATGGGGTGACTACCGCCCAAAGGATGGGTATGGGGTGCATAATAAACATGTTAAACTAACTACAGTGGCTCCCCTCACCACCACTCCAGTTCCCTCCCCCACCTCAGGACCACTCCAGTGCCCTCCCCCTCCCTCAGGACCCCTCCAGGGCCCTCCCCTCCCTCAGGACCACTCAGAGTTCATAATCGACATAATTTTGGAGTGGGAATAGCCACAAAACTTATAAAAATAATCCATCAAACATATTTGGTCAACGCCGAGGTGCTATGAATGACCTGCGAAGATTATTGTGATGGGTAAAGCCAGAAATGCAGTGTTATAGACAAGTGAGAAGTTATAACCCTCAGGACTGAAAATAACTCCCACTTATAAACTCACTTGTGGTGAAGAGTCGTACCCACTGAAAATAAAACCTTGGGCCTCCTGGCTAGCAGGATATAATCCTGTAGAGAAGAGGACCCCAGAAGGAGGTGGAAATATACAGACCAATTAATCTCCCGAGTTTCTATCATCTGGGTTATTAATGAACATGTACACAAAAAATGTAAACAAGAGAGGTGCAGTATAACCCTACAGTATGCCAACGGAGGAAGTGAATGAATTTTTACGTTGCCACAATAAAATATCACATTAGTTGCACTTGTGTCCTCTTACCCAACATTGTCGGTAATTCTGCCAGTATTATTATATTTTCACATATTCAACCTAAAACTGGAATGACTGGGACTGAACCTCTCTAGAACTAGAGTGAGACTGATTAACTTGTCGCTATTATTTATGATAGCGCTTAAATGTGTGCTAGGAAAAATTATTAAGACTATGTGAAACAGTTAGGTATCTTTATTGATAAAATGTTTGGCCTACACAGTAGGTTTCTTCAGTCACATACAAAAGGAGTAGTGAAAGTGAAATAAAGATGATTTAATCAATCCATCAATACCTTGGAGAAACGGAATTTGAGATGGTCAGACCCTCAGCTCCATGGAGCTCAACTCTTCTCCAGGCTGAGGGACTGACCACATGGACTGATTACATCGTCTTCACATCTCTACTGTTTCTGTATTTGACTGAAGAAGCCTACTGTGTAGGCGAAACGTTTCGGAATAAAGGTACCTGACAGTTGCAGATGCGTGTTATCAACGAGTACAATACTAACCCATGGGTAAGCAGCAGGAGCGGGGCGCTGGGGTCCAGGCTGGAGTTATAGATGCTGAAGAAATCCTGAGGATCCAGAATCTAGAGAAGAAAATTAAGAGAGTTAACCCTCCATTTAACAGACATTGGAAAAAATAAACACATAAGCAGTATAATGTGATCCTTTTTTTGACAACGTTTCGCCCACACAGTGGACTTTATCAAGTCAAAAACAGATCTACCTGGGTGTAAGGTACGCGAGTATTTAACAGACCTTACTTATAAAATCAATTATTTTTAGGTTGGATAAATACATGATAGAGAGGTTTGGATCTGAGTAGGACTTTTACTTGAGTTAACAGCGTTATTAAGGCTACTCCTTGGGTATTATTATTATTATTATTATAATCAAAAAGAAGCGCTAAGCCACAAGGGCTGTACAGCGCTGCTACTCCTTGGGTAGACTGATTGAAAATGGTACAACATACTGTACAGCAGTTGGATATCTTTATTGATAAAACGTTTGGCCTACACAGACTTCTTCAGTCAGATACAAAGGGAGTAGTAGTGATGAAATAAAGATGATATAATCAGTCCATCAGCACTGGAAAGTATTTGAGGTAGTTAGTCCCTCAGCCTGGAGAAGAGTTCAGCTCCATGGTCTGGAACGATATCGTTCCAGACCATGAAAGATGAAGACCATAGAGGTACCCAACTATCACACATGTGTATTAATCTTCAACACTGATAATGAGTTGGGCCACAAGAGCTATACAGCAAGGACTTGCCAAGTATAGGCCAGTAGGCCTGCTGCAGTGTTCCTCCTTTATGTTCTTAGTAATCAATCACAATAAAAAATAACCGCTTTATCCACAAGGGTCATACGATAACGGCATTATATTTTGTAAAACGCTTGGCACACAGGGGTCGTTTACCGCGTTTAGAAATGAGAGGAATCAGGTTGGAGACGAGGAAGGGGAGGGTGGCTCCACTTTTTGGGATCAAGAGCCCTTTACCTGTATTATGATGAGAAATGCCTTAGGGAGAAACATGAACAGATTTGGTTTGTTAGGTTTAAAATATCAACTATATTCGAGTCATTAAACACGCAGTTCATAGCCTATCACCTACACGAAGGTAATTAAAAATTGCAGTTCACCTCTACGTTAACATCAATAAAATTTTAATGGCTAAAATAGAGATAAAAGTATATATACACAGAAACACCTTTCAGAGTATATATACACATTCCTCTCAAGGTATACTTAGATACCTCTCAGGGTATATATATATATATATATATATATATATATATATATATATATTATATATATATATATATATATATATATATATATATCTATATATACACCTATCAGGCTGTATGCATAAAGATGTATATTTCTCACGGTATGTATATACACAGATACATGGCTCTTAGAGTATACAGACACAGTTATACACCTCTGGGGATATATATCCTCATCTCAGGGTATAAACACAGATCAAGCAACACCTCCACGAATGCACCAACAACTGTGTTGACTCAGCACCACGTGTTCGAAACACCAGGAACTCATACGTTCGAAACACCAAGAACTCATACGTTCGAAACACCAGGAACTCATACGTTCGAAACACCAGGAACTCATACGTTCGAAACACCAGCAACTCACACGTTCGAAACACCAGGTACTCATATGTTCGTAACACCAGGAACTCACACATTCGAAATACCAGGAACTCACACGTTCGAAATACCAGGAACTCACACGTTCGAAATGCCAGGAACTCACACGTTCGAAACACTAGGAACTCACACGTTCGAAACACCAGGAACTCACACGTTCGAAATACCAGGAACTCACACGTTCGAAACACCAGGAGCTCACACGTTCGAAACACTAGGAACTCACGCGTTCGAAACACCAGGAACTCACACGTTCGAAATACCAGGAACTCACACGTTCGAAATACCAGGAACTCACACGTTCGAAACACTAGGAACTCACACGTTCGAAACACCAGGAACTCACACGTTCGAAACACCAGGAGCTCACACGTTCGAAACACTAGGAACTCACACGTTCGAAACACCAGGAACTCACACGTTCGAAATACCAGGAACTCACACGTTCGAAATACCAGGAACTCACACGTTCGACACACCAGGAACTCACACGTTTGACACACCAGGAACTCACGCGTTCGAAACACCAGGAACTCACACGTTCGACACACCAGGAACTCACACGTTCGAAATACCAGGAACTCACACGTTCGAAACACCAGGAACTCACACGTTCGAAACACCAGGAACTCACACGTTCGAAACACCAGGAACTCACACGTTCGAAACACCAGGAACTCACACGTTCGACACACCAGGAACTCACACGTTCGACACGCCAGGAACTCACACGTTCGAAAGGTTACTTTTGAGCATTCAACCCACTAGGGAGGGAAGTTTACGAGTGCCCAGGACTAAACCTGATTCCTTGCCATTTCCCCAAGTGCTGTAAAGTCTTTGAAGTTATTCTTGATGAACCATAACAGTGACTGGAAGACGTGACTCAAGTTAGTGTGTCGGGTCATCTAGGAGGTCATCTAGGTGGCCATCTAGGTGGCCAAGTGGCTAAAGCTCTCGCTTCACACACGAAGGGACCGGGTTCGAATCTAGGTGAGGTGGAAAAATTTCGACGTGTTTCCTTACACCTGTTGTCCTGTTTACCTATCAGCAAATGGGTACCTGGGTGTTAGTCGACTGGTGTGGGTGGCATCCTGGGGGACAAGATTGAGGACCACAATGGAAATAAGACAGTCCTCAATGACGCACTAACTTTCTTGGGTTATTCTGGGTGGCTAACCCTCCGAGGTTAAAAATCCAAACGAAATCTTATCCTATCTCATCTTATCACCTCAGTCAAGCCAAAAATACTGGAATGCTGAAAAAAAAAAGCTTTGATGTTCTAAAAATGGTTTATAATACCGATAAGCTGAAGATCAAGACATGTGCAACAGTTCGCTATCTTTATTGATGAAATGTTTCACCTATACAGTAGGCCTCTTCAGTCAAATACAGTGAAATAAAGATGTAATCAGTCCATCAACCTTGGAGAAAAAGTATTTGTGGTGGTCAGTCCCTCAGCCTGGAGAAGAGTTCAGTTCCATAATCTGGAACAATATGACGCTGAAGCAACAGTAAGAAGACAACCTGGAGTCGATGTCGTCGACTCCAGGTTGAGGGACTGTTTACCTCATCTTTTGTATATAGTTCTACTGTCTTCCCATTATGTCCTTCAACTTGTATTGATAAGCCACTGGAGGGCGAAACGTCTACAATAAGATACTCAGATGCTGCACGTGTGTTTAATTTTCATTTTGTCGGTATTGTAGACCATTCAAGTATAACAGGTCAATATATTACAGGAAACGTTTCGCCCCGTGGCGAAACGCTTCCTGCAATAAATGTACTAAATTTAACGTCAAGTTTACAGAACGTTTGTGTATGTCTCTTTTAACAAGATGAAAAATTGTCTTTGATGCTGGTGACGGTATCTTTAATCCAAGCATTCGGAGCTCCTCTCCCCTTCCTCGGATTAAACCTGACTGCTTCCTATTCCCCATGAGTTAAATGACCCATACAGTTTGGGTGCTTCCTCGTGAAGACTGTCCCACTCTCTCTCTGGCCACTTGAGCTAGCCTTCTGTCTCTGCACTAGACCCACAGGCGCCGCCCACGAGGTGCTGCGTGGGCGTGCGTGGGCGGACGTGACCCCTAACACACACACAGAGCTGACACATGTACACGCAGACGCCAGCGAATGCACACACACACACACATGATAAAGCTCTAGGAGCAGGGAAAGAGTGGACCTAATAACTAGCGAAGAGGTGGGGCCAAGAGCTATGAATCGACCCCTGCAACAACAAATAGGTGAGCACACACACACACACATCACAGTGGCCGCCTGTGACGAGCGGGGTCCCACAGGGGTCAGTCCTAGGACCAGTGCTATTTTTGGTATATGTGAATGACATGACGGAAGGATAGACTTAGAAGTGTCCCTGTTTGCAATTGATGTGAAGTTAATGAGGAGAATTAAATTAGATGAGGATCAGGCAAGACTACAAAGAGACCTGGACAGACTGGACACCTGGTCCAGCAACTGGCTTCTCGAATTTAACCCTGCCAAATGCAAAGTCATGAAGATCGGGGAAGGGCACAGAAGACCGCTGACGGAGTATAGGCTAGGTGGCCAAAGACTGCATACCTCGCTTAAAGAGAAAGATCTTGGGGTGAGTATAACACCGAGCACGTCTCCGGTCTCTGGAAGCACACATCAACCAGATAACTGCTGCAGCATATGGGCGCCTGGCAAACCTGAGAACAGCGTTCCGATACCTTAGTAAGGAATCGTTCAAGACACTGTACACGTGTACGTCAGGTCCATACTGGAGCATGCAGCACCAGTTTGGAACCCACACCTGGTCAAGCACATCAAGAAATTAGAGAAAGTGCAAAGGTTTGCAACAAGGCTAGCTCCAGAGCTAAGGGGAATGTCCTACGAAGAAAGGTTAAGGGAAATCGGCCTGACGACACTGGAGGACAGGACGGTCAGGGGAGACATGATAACGACATACAAAATACTGAGAGGAATAGATAAGGTGGACAGAGACAGGACAGAGATGGAACACAGAAACAAGGTCACAATTGGAAACTGAAGACTCAGATGAATCAAAGGGATATTAGGAAGTATTTATTCAGTCATAGAGTTGTCAGGCAGTGGAATAGCCTAGAAAGTGACGTAGTGGAGGCAGGAACCATACATAGTTTTAAGACGAGGTTTGATAAAGCTCATGGAGCAGTGAGAGAGAGGACCTAGTAGCAACCAGTGAAGAGGCGGGGCTAGAAGCTAAGACTCGACCCCTGCAACCACAAAGATGTGAGTACATATAGGTGAGTACAGACACGCGCGCGCACACACAACGCCTCACGTACGCCCCCGAACGATTGAGCATCTACGAATCCGGATTCAGAAGGATTCATACGTGACGAGCAATCCGTTGACAGCCATCATACAAGAACCCGACTCACACTTATTTTGCCCACATAAATACGATTCCATCACTGTAGGTTAAATTCAAGTACCTGGTGGCTGTTTCGGGGGTCAACGCCCCCCTCGCCCCAGTCAAAAATTTCGAAGATTAAAAAAATATATATTTATTGCACTGCTGATGTTGTAGTGGCCAGACTTAGGCTTGGTTACAAGTACTTCTGGCAGTGTGATGTTGTAGTGGCTAGGCTTAGGCTTAGTTACAAGTACTTCTGGCAGTGTGATGTTGTAGTGGCCAGGCTTAGGCTAGGTTACAAGTACTTCTGGCAGTTTGATGTTGTAGTGGCCAGGCTTAGGCTTGGTTACAAGTACTTCTGGCAGTTTGATGTTGTAGTGGCCAGACTTAGGCTTGGTTACAAGTACTTCTGGCAGTGTGATGTTGTAGTGGCCAGGCTTAGGCTTGGTTACAAGTACTTCTGGCAGTGTGATGTTGTAGTGGCCAGGCTTAGGCTTGGTTACAAATACTTCTGGCAGTGTGATGTTGTAGTGGCCAGACTTAGGCTTGTTTACAAGTACTTCTGGCAGTGTGATGTTGTAGTGGCCAGGCTTAGGCTTGGTTACAAGTACTTCTGGCAGTTTGATGTTGTAGTGGCCAGGCTTAGGCTTGGTTACAAGTACTTCTGGCAGTGTGATGTTGTAGTGGCCAGGCTTAGGCTTGGTTACAAGTACTTCTGGCAGTTTGATGTTGTAGTGGCCAGGCTTAGGCTTGGTTACAAGTACTTCTGGCAGTTTGATGTTGTAGTGGCCAGACTTAGGCTTGGTTACAAGTACTTCTAGCAGTGTGATGTTGTAGTGGCCAGGCTTAGGCTTGGTTACAAGTACTTCTGGCAGTGTGATGTTGTAGTGGCCAGGCTTAGGCTTGGTTACAAATACTTCTGGCAGTGTGATGTTGTAGTGGCCAGACTTAGGCTTGGTTACAAGTACTTCTGGCAGTGTGATGTTGTAGTGGCCAGGCTTAGGCTTGGTTACAAGTACTTCTGGCAGTTTGATGTTGTAGTGGCCAGGCTTAGGCTTGGTTACAAGTACTTCTGGCAGTGTGATGTTGTAGTGGCCAGACTTAGGCTTGGTTACAAGTACTTCTGGCAGTTTGGGAGACACACAGATGATGATCAAACTAAATGTAAATTATGTGATCAGGCATATGGTCACTGTCTTGAACACTATGTGCTTAATTGTCCACTTATTGAGGAATACAGAGACAGACAGTATAATAACCTATGTGACATGTCAAGATATCTTATTAATGAAAATAAGATACCAGATATACTAAGCAAATTTCCTAAATTTGCTTGTAACAGATAAGTGATATGTAGATATGTAGATATAAATCCATATGTAGAATGTTAACCATTTTGGGGCCTAGTTCCTAGGCCTTTTGTGTATCCATATGCTCTTGCGCTACCGTCCACAGGATGGATATGGGGTGCACAATAAACTAGCCACTTCGGTGGCAAAATCTAAAATCTAAATTCCCCCCGCCCACACACAAATTAAAATTTAATGGGAACTGTGCTGACCCTAAGATGACTGCAAGCCAATGGAAATTTCACACAATTTTGCAGACGTGAATTTCACTCTCCACAAGACGTCGAATTTTTAGGCACATTATATATATATATATATATATATATATATATATATATATATATATATATATATATATATATATATATATATATACATTTTTTTTGAGTTGAAGCCAGACCGCAGAGGCTTTTGCAAGTTATCAACGCTAGTCCAAGAAGCTGGAACTGGCTTCACTGACCAGGAAGACCTGGCGCCAGTCCAGGAAGCTGGGACTGGCTTCACTGACCAGGAAGACCTGGCGCCAGTCCAGGAAGCTGGGACTGGCTTCACTGACCAGGAAGACCTGGCGCCAGTCCAGGAAGTTGAGACTGGCTTCACTGACCAGGAAGACCTGACGCCAGTCCAGGAAGTTGAGACTGGCTTCACTGACCAGGAAGACCTGGCGCCAGTCCAGGAAGTTGAGACTGGCTTCACTGACCAGGAAGACCTGGCGCCAGTCCAGGAAGTTGAGACTGGCTTCACTGACCAGGAAGACCTGGCGCCAGCCCATGAAGCTGGGACTGGCTTCAGTGACCAGGAAGACCTGGCGCCAGCCCAGGAAGTTGAGACTGGCTTCAGTGACCAGGAAGACCTGGCGCCAGTCCTGGAAGCTGGAACTGGCTTCACTAACCAGGAAGACCTGACGCCAGTCCAGGAAGTTGAGACTGGCTTCAATGACCAGGAAGACCTGGCGCCAGTCCAGGAAGTTGAAACTGGCTTCAGTGACCAGGAAGACCTGGCGCCAGTCCAGGAAGCTGGAACTGGCTTCACTAACCAGGAAGACCTGACGCCAGTCCAGAAAGTTGAGACTGGCTTCAATGACCAGGAAGACCTGACGCCAGTCCAGGAAGCTGAAACTGGCTTCACTGACCAGGAAGACCTGGCGCCAGTCCATGAAGCTGGGACTGGCTTCACTGACCAGGAAGACCTGACGCCAGTCCAGGAAGTTGAGACTGGCTTCACTGACCAGGAAGACCTGGCGCCAGTCCAGGAAGTTGAGACTGGCTTCACTGACCAGGAAGACCTGGCGCCAGTCCAGGAAGTTGAGACTGGCTTCACTGACCAGGAAGACCTGGCGCCAGCCCATGAAGCTGGGACTGGCTTCAGTGACCAGGAAGACCTGGCGCCAGCCCAGGAAGTTGAGACTGGCTTCAGTGACCAGGAAGACCTGGCGCCAGTCCTGGAAGCTGGAACTGGCTTCACTAACCAGGAAGACCTGACGCCAGTCCAGGAAGTTGAGACTGGCTTCAATGACCAGGAAGACCTGGCGCCAGTCCAGGAAGTTGAAACTGGCTTCAGTGACCAGGAAGACCTGGCGCCAGTCCAGGAAGCTGGAACTGGCTTCACTAACCAGGAAGACCTGACGCCAGTCCAGAAAGTTGAGACTGGCTTCAATGACCAGGAAGACCTGACGCCAGTCCAGGAAGCTGAAACTGGCTTCACTGACCAGGAAGACCTGGCGCCAGTCCATGAAGCTGGGACTGGCTTCACTGACCAGGAAGACCTGGCGCCAGTCCAGGAAGTTGAGACTGGCTTCACTGACCAGGAAGACCTGACGCCAGTCCAGGAAGCTGAAACTGGCTTCACTGACCAGGAAGACCTGGCGCCAGTCCATGAAGCTGGGACTGGCTTCAGTGACCAGGAAGACCTGGCGCCAGCCCAGGAAGTTGAGACTGGCTTCAGTGACCAGGAAGACCTGGCGCCAGTCCAGGAAGTTGAGACTGGCTTCAATGACCAGGAAGACCTGGCGCCAGTCCATGAAGCTGGGACTGGCTTCATTGACCAGGAAGACCTGACGCCAGTCCAGGAAGTTGAGACTGGCTTCACTGACCAGGAAGACCTGGCGCCATTCCATGAAGCTGGGACTGGCTTCAGTGACCAGGAAGACCTGGCGCCAGCCCAGGAAGTTGAGACTGGCTTCAGTGACCAGGAAGACCTGGCGCCAGTCCAGGAAGTTGAGACTGGCTTCAATGACCAGGAAGACCTGGCGCCAGTCCATGAAGCTGGGACTGGCTTCACTGACCAGGAAGACCTGACGCCAGTCCAGGAAGTTGAGACTGGCTTCACTGACCAGGAAGACCTGGCGCCAGTCCAGGAAGTTGAGACTAGCTTCACTGACCAGGAAGACCTGGCGCCAGTCCAGGAAGTTGAAACTAGCTTCACTGACCAGGAAGACCTGGCGCCAGCCCAGGAAATTGAGACTAGCTTCACTGACCAGGAAGACCTGGCGCCAGTCCAGGAAGTTGAGACTAGCTTCACTGACCAGGAAGACCTGGCGCCAGTCCAGGAAGTTGAGACTAGCTTCACTGACCAGGAAGACCCGGCGCCAGTCCAGGAAGTTGAGACTGGCTTCACTGACCAGGAAGACCTGGCGTCAGTCCAGGAAGCTGGAACTGGCTTCACTGACCAGGAAGACCTGGCGCCAGTCCAGGAAGTTGAGACTGACTTCACTGACCAGGAAGACCTGGCGTCAGTCCAGGAAGCTGGAACTGGCTTCACTGACCAGGAAGACCTGGCGCCAGTCCAGGAAGCTGGGACTGACTTCACTGACCAGGAAGACCTGGCGCCAGTCCAGGAAGCTGGGACTGACTTCACTGACCAGGAAGACCTGGCGCCAGTTCAGGAAGCTGGGACTGACTTCACTGACCAGGAAGACCTGGCGCCAGTTCAGGAAGCTGGCACTGCCTTGACCAGGAAGACCTGGCGCCAGCACACGACAGCAGCTGCTGCCACAGTCTGCTCCTCCTTGACATACACGACAGTTCAGTTCGATCGGATGAGTGATTCTGGAGTTATGTACATACATAATTACAACAATAATAATTATAATTATTAATTATTATTATTATAATTAATAATTTTTATTAGTTATAATTATTATTGCTATAATAAATAATAATAATGGAAGTGAGACTGACATGACAGTGTGGGCGTGTGGGCGTGTGGAAGCAGAATGTGGGCGTGATGAGGTGGTGTGGCATGGGTGCCACTGACACTGGTCTCTCTCTCCCCGCCCACACACCGCCCACAGGGAAGCACCCCAGGGACCCGTAGCAATCTGAAAAATATAAAGATTATTCCGTGCCAAAAAAATTAATTTCGAAAAAATGGGAAAGGGACAAAAATATATAATATAATTGAAAATTGAAGCAATACGGAATTTTAAACAGGGGCAATGGGGAGACAACAGGAACAACGGGTAAAAGTCAACAGTAGCAACGGGGAGACAACAGATATGAGTCAACGGGAGCAACATTTAAGGGTCAACAAACAGGAGCAATAGGTAAGTGTCAGCAAACATGGACAACAGGTAAGGGTCAGCAAACAGAAGCAACGGGGAGACAACGGGTAAGTCAACAAACAGAAGAAAAGGGGAGACAACGGGTAAGTCAACAAACAGGAGCAACGGGGAAACAACAGGCAACAGTCAACAAACAGGAATAAGGGACAACAAGCAACTGTCACTAAACGGGAACAACAGGTAACAGTCGTTCAGAGCCTGGTAAACGGGTTTGATCCTAGGAAGGGGAGGGGTAGCTCCAGTCTTCCATCACTCTGCCTCGTCTTCCATCACTCTGCCTCGTCTTCCATCACTCTGCCTCCAGTCTTCCATCACTCTGCCTCCAGTCTTCCATCACTCTGCCTCCAGTCTTCCCTCACTCTGCCTCCAGTCTTCCATCACTCTGCCTCGTCTTCCATCACTCTGCCTCCAGTCTTCCATCACTCTGCCTCCAGTCTTCCATCACTCTGCCTCCAGTCTTCCATCACTCTGCCTCCAGTCTTCCCTCACTCTGCCTCCAGTCTTCCATCACTCTGCCTCGTCTTCCATCACTCTGCCTCCAGTCTTCCATCACTCTGCCTCCAGTCTTCCATCACTCTGCCTCCAGTCTTCCATCACTCTGCCTCCAGTCTTCCATCACTCTGCCTCCAGTCTTCCATCACTCTGCCTCCAGTCTTCCATCACTCTGCCTCCAGTCTTCCCTCACTCTGCCTCCAGTCTTCCATCACTCTGCCTCGTCTTCCATCACTCTGCCTCCAGTCTTCCATCACTCTGCCTCCAGTCTTCCATCACTCTGCCTCCAGTCTTCCATCACTCTGCCTCCAGTCTTCCATCACTCTGCCTCCAGTCTTCCCTCACTCTGCCTCCAGTCTTCCATCACTCTGCCTCGTCTTCCATCACTCTGCCTCCAGTCTTCCATCACTCTGCCTCCAGTCTTCCATCACTCTGCCTCCAGTCTTCCATCACTCTGCCTCCAGTCTTCCATCACTCTGCCTCTAGTCTTCCATCACTCTGCCTCCAGTCTTCCATCACTCTGCCTCCAGTCTTCCATCACTCTGCCTCCAGTCTTCCATCACTCTGCCTCTAGTCTTCCATCACTCTGCCTCCAGTCTTCCATCACTCTGCCTCCAGTCTTCCATCACTCTGCCTCCAGTCTTCCATCACTCTGCCTCCAGTCTTCCATCACTCTGCCTCCAGTCTTCCATCACTCTGCCTCCAGTCTTCCATCACTCTGCCTCTAGTCTTCCATCACTCTGCCTCCAGTCTTCCATCACTCTGCCTCTAGTCTTCCATCACTCTGCCTCCAGTCTTCCATCACTCTGCCTCTAGTCTTCCATCACTCTGCCTCCAGTTTTCCCTCACTCTGTCTCCAGTCTTCCCTCACTCTGCCTCCAGTCTTCCCTCACTCTGTCTCCAGTCTTTCCTCACTCTGCCTCCAGTCTTCCCTCACTCTGCCTCCAGTCTTCCATCACTCTGCCTCCAGTTTTCCCTCACTCTGTCTCCAGTCTTCCTCACTCTGCCTCTAGTCTTCCCTCACTCTGCCTCCAGTCTTCCATCACTCTGCCTCCAGTCTTCCCTCGCTCTGCCTCCAGTCTTCCATCACTCTGCTTCCAGTCTTCCATCACTCTGCCTCCAGTCTTCCATCACTCTGCCTCTAGTCTTCCATCACTCTGCCTCCAGTCTTCCATCACTCTGCCTCTAGTCTTCCATCACTCTGCCTCCAGTCTTCCATCACTCTGCCTCTAGTCTTCCATCACTCTGCCTCCAGTTTTCCCTCACTCTGTCTCCAGTCTTCCCTCACTCTGCCTCCAGTCTTCCATCACTCTGCCTCCAGTTTTCCCTCACTCTGTCTCCAGTCTTCCCTCACTCTGCCTCTAGTCTTCCCTCACTCTGCCTCCAGTCTTCCATCACTCTGCCTCCAGTCTTCCCTCGCTCTGCCTCCAGTCTTCCATCACTCTGCTTCCAGTCTTCCCTCACTCTGCCTCCAGTCTTCCCTCACTCTGTCTCCAGTCTTTCCTCACTCTGCCTCCAGTCTTCCCTCACTCTGCCTCCAGTCTTCCATCACTCTGCCTCCAGTTTTCCCTCACTCTGTCTCCAGTCTTCCCTCACTCTGCCTCTAGTCTTCCCTCACTCTGCCTCCAGTCTTCCATCACTCTGCCTCCAGTCTTCCCTCGCTCTGCCTCCAGTCTTCCATCACTCTGCTTCCAGTCTTCCATCATTCTGCCTCCAGTCTTCCCTCACTCTGCCTCCAGTCTTCCCTCACTCTGCCTCCAGTCTTCCATCACTCTTCCTCCAGTCTTCCCTCACTCTGCCTCCAGTCTTCCCTCACTCTGCCTCCAGTCTTCCCTCACTCTGCCTCCAGTCTTCCATCACTCTGCCTCCAGTCTTCCCTCACTCTGCCTCCAGTCTTCCATCACTCTGCCTCTAGTCTTCCCTCACTCTGCCTCCAGTCTTCCATCACTCTGCCTCTAGTCTTCCCTCACTCTGCCTCCAGTCTTCCATCCCTCTGCCTCCAGTCTTCCATCACTCTGCCTCCAGTCTTCCCTCACTCTGCCTCCAGTCTTCCATCACTCTGCCTCCAGTCTTCCCTCACTCTGCCTCCAGTCTTCCATCACTCTGCCTCCAGTCTTCCCTCACTCTGCCTTTAGTCTTCCATCACTCTGCCTCCAGTCTTCCCTCACTCTGCCTCCAGTCTTCCATCACTCTGCCTCTAGTTTTCCCTCACTCTGCCTCCAGTCTTCCATCACTCTGCCTCCAGTCTTCCCTCACTCTGCCTCCAGTCTTCCCTCACTCTGCCTCCAGTCTTCCCTCACTCTGCCTCCAGTCTTCCCTCACTCTGCCTCCAGTCTTCCCTCACTCTGCCTCCAGTCTTCCCTCACTTTACCTGTTGATGGAGGCGGTGATGGTGGATGTTCGTCCATCACAGGAAAACTGAGACTCAGAAGAGTGTGAAGAATGACGCTCTTCTCCATTTGGCACTCCTGGGTCACGATCTGACACCTGGTACACCTGAGGTCACAATCTGGCACTATTCGTACTCCTGGGTCACTATCTGTTATTGTTGGCAAACCCGAGCCACGATCTGGCACTGTTGGTAAGCCTGGATTACAAACTGGCACTGTTGGTACGCCTAAGTCACGATCTGGCACTGTTGGTACGCCTGGGTTATGATCTGGTACTGTTGGCACGACTAACTCACGATCTGGCACTGTTGGTACGCCTGGGTTACGAACTGGTACTGTTGGTACGCCTGTCACGATCTGGCACTGTTGGTACAGCTGGGTTACGAACTGGTACTGTTGGTACGCCTATCACGACCTGGCACTGTTGGTACAGCTGGGTTACGAATTGGTACTGTTGGTACGCCCGTCACGATCTGGCACTGCTGGTACGCCTGGGTTACGAATTGGTACTGTTGGTACGCCTAACTCGCGATCTGGCACTGTTGGTACGCCTGGGTTACGAAGTGGTAGTATTGGTATGCTTGAGTCAAGATCTTACACCACTGGTATGCCTGAGTCAAAATCCTGAGCTGTTGACACGACTAACTCACGATCTGGCACTGTTGGTACGCCTGGGTTACGAACTGGTACTGTTGGTACGCCTGTCACGATCTGGCACTGTTGGTACAGCTGGGTTACGAACTGGTACTGTTGGTACGCCTATCACGACCTGGCACTGTTGGTACAGCTGGGTTACGAATTGGTACTGTTGGTACGCCCAAGTCACGATCTGGCACTGCTGGTACGCCTGGGTTACGAATTGGTACTGTTGGTACGCCTAACTCGCGATCTGGCACTGTTGGTACGCCTGGGTTACGAAGTGGTAGTATTGGTATGCTTGAGTCAAGATCTTACACCACTGGTATGCCTGAGTCAAAATCCTGAGCTGTTGACACGTCTGGGTCACGATCTGGCACTGATGGTGCTTCTAGATCAAGATACTGCACTGTTTGTACACCTGGATCATAAACTGGCACTGTTGGTACACCTGAGTTGCAATCTGGCACTACTGGTACGGCTGGGCCAAGATCTTGCACTGCTGGTACACGCAGTTACAATCTGGAACTGTTGGTATGCATGGATCACAATCTGGCACAGTTAGTATGCCTGGATCACAATCAGCACAGTTGGTATGCCAGTCACTATAAAGCACCGTTAGCACTCTTTGATTCACAATCTGGCCATTTTAGGTTATTAGCACTGAGTGACAATCTGGTACTATTGGCACTTTTGGGTCAACAGCACTGCTGGTATTCCTGGGTGACTATCTAGCACTGCTGGTACCCCTGGGTCACTGACATAACTGGTACCCCTGTCACTATCCAGCACTGCTGGTACCCCTGGGTCACTGTTGACACTTCTGGGTCACAATCTAGCACTTGGCACATTTGAGTCACGATTTGCCAGTTGATACGCCTAGGTAACGATCTGGCACTGTTACTATACAAGAGTTATGATGTAGCACTATTGGTAAGCCTGCGTTTCAATCTGACACTGTTGGTATGCTTGAGTCATGATTTAGCACTGCTGGTTAGCCTAGGTCATGATTTGGCAATGTTGATACATCTGGGTTACGAGTTGACACTTGGTACGCTTGGTCACGATTTAGCACTGTTGGTACGCCTGGGTCACAATTTGGCACTGCTGGTATGCCTGAGTCACTGTTGGTACAACTGGATCACGATTTGACACTTGGTATGCCTGGGTCACTATTTGGAACTGCTGGTTAGCCTGGGTCACGATTTAGCATTTGGTACGCCTGGTCACGACACTGTTGGTACACCTGGGTCAAACTATGGCTCTGTTGGCACCTCTGTCAAGATCCTTTACTGTTGGCACGTCTACTTCATGATCTGCAAGTATTATTATTATTATTAGTAGTAGTAGTAGTAATAGTAATAGTGGTAATAGTAGTAGTAATAATAGTAATAGTAGTAGTACATTCATGTGGTAACGTTAAACCCAGAGGGATCAATCGCACTGCGTCTGGAGAATGGGAATCAATCAGGTTTGACCCGAGGAAAGGGACGGTAGCTCTCGTTCCTCGGAGCTTGAGCCTCTCACCAGCAATAAGGCACCACTGGCAATGTCAGGTTGATCAAGTTATAATCATTATACCAAAATACAAATGGGCTAAAACATGTACACAACATTTGATTAAGTGTCTCTATAACAACCCGATTTTAAATCTACTATAGAACAAATATAAATACACACATACACAAAGACAGGATGTTCCAGAGATTGGACACAGTAACAAGGGGACACAGTTGGAAGTTGAAGACACAGATGAATCACAGGGATGTTAGGAAGTATTTCTTCAGCCACAGAGTAGTCAGTAAGTGGAATAGTTTGGGAAGCGATGTAGTGGAGGCAGGATCCATACATAGCTTTAAGCAGAGGTATGATAAAGTTCACGGTTCAGGGAGAGTGACCTAGTAGCGACCAGTGAAGAGGCGGGGCCAGGAGCTTGGACTCGACCCCTGCAACCTCAACTAGGTGAGTACACAAAAACACACACACACAAAATGTGTCTATCGGCAAGTGCCTTTGACAACTAGTAATTATTACACACATACAGCGACCAGTGAAGAGACGGGGCCAGGAGCTATGAATCGACCCCTGCAACCACAATTAGGTGAGCACACATATACACACGGGTACACACATCATTTTAAGTGACTATGAATGAATTAATAATAATTGCGACATTAAGTGGTGGTTCTGTGGTAGCTTAAAACCAAAGGACTCGGGTTCAACCTTGGGTGGGTGGAAACGTATAGGAAACTCCTCATAGCTGCTGCTTACGTTCACTTACGTTCACCTAGCAGGAAGTAGGTACCTGGGTATTAGTCTACTGTTCCCAATCCTGGATGGTGTTCGTATGTCTTAGAGAGTACCGACCATTATAATATTGGAGCTATTACCTCCCATTCCATATGAATATAATTAATAATTTACTACTGTAGCTACAAACGGGTAATTATACATTTAGAGGAGTTTCTTCGGATTATTAATCCGAAGGGTTAGGAACCCATTATAACTGAATAAATCCATGTCATTTGACTGGCTTATTTCCATCAGGGTCCTTAACGTCTCCCAGGATGCCACCTACACCAGTTGGCTAACGTCCAGGTACCTACTTCTTGCTAAGTGAGCAGGTGGGACAACAGGTACAAGGAAACATAACCGACTTTTAGATTCGTCCGGGGATCGAACCCTGGTCCCTTAGTGTGTGAGTTGAGCCTGTTATCAAGTGAGTTACATGCATACTGTCTTGTCACTGTTATATAATTCTCTAAATAATCTTTATGGAGTCAGAATAATTGGCTACCTGTATTTTATCAAAATGTTATCAAAGAATCTGTCAATTCGGTGAATGCTAAGCCTGTCCAAGTTAATATGTTAATCGAGGAGGCACATTTTGTAGAGAAAACCTTATTCTGATCTCATTTCTTTCCTAAACAATGGCCAGTCGATTTATAGACATCCATTACCCTTGATACAATAATTCGTGCAGTGTTCTAGTTTTACCGGGCTACCTAAACCACCAGATTATCTTTCTGATTACCCAGAAAGTAGTGGAAGTAAAAATATTAGAAGTACCCAATGGGTCCAAAGACTGAGACCAAAATATATTATTTAGCAAGTTACAGTGACAATGAACTCTTTACAAAAATAATAGGCTATCTTATCACAGGACCATCCATATGGGCCGTCTTATCCACTGGGTTATCTACAATGTGCTATCCTACCTACGACCTATTTATATTAAATTATCATATTCGCTGCCTACTTAATTCAGGATATTCTGTAGACTCTAGACATCAATATTTACAAAGGTGGAATAATTACGCGAGGTCAAAGTAGTTGTGACATGTAGTTCTCAGACAAGTAGACTGGAACCAAACAAGTCACCCGGCCCTGATGACCTGTTTCACCCGGCCCTGATGACCTGTTTCACCCGGCCCTGATGACCTGTTTCACCCGGCCCTGATGACCTGTTTCACCCGGCCCTGATGACCTGTTTCACCCGGCCCTGATGACCTGTTTCACCCGGCCCTGATGACCTGTTTCACCCGGCCCTGATGACCTGTTTCACCCGGCCCTGATGACCTGTTTCACCCGGCCCTGATGACCTGTTTCACCCGGCCCTGATGACCTGTTTCACCCGGCCCTGATGACCTGTTTCACCCGGCCCTGATGACCTGTTTCACCCGGCCCTGATGACCTGTTTCACCCGGCCCTGATGACCTGTTTCACCCGGCCCTGATGACCTGTTTCACCCGGCCCTGATGACCTGTTTCACCCGGCCCTGATGACCTGTTTCACCCGGCCCTGATGACCTGTTTCACCCGGCCCTGATGACCTGTTTCACCCGGCCCTGATGACCTGTTTCACCCGGCCCTGATGACCTGTTTCACCCGGCCCTGATGACCTGTTTCACCCGGCCCTGATGACCTGTTTCACCCGGCCCTGATGACCTGTTTCACCCGGCCCTGATGACCTGTTTCACCCGGCCCTGATGACCTGTTTCACCCGGCCCTGATGACCTGTTTCACCCGGCCCTGATGACCTGTTTCACCCGGCCCTGATGACCTGTTTCACCCGGCCCTGATGACCTGTTTCACCCGGCCCTGATGACCTGTTTCACCCGGCCCTGATGACCTGCTTCACCCGGCCCTGATGACCTGTTTCACCCGGCCCTGATGACCTGTTTCCAAGAGTTGTAAAGAGGACCTTAGCAAACCATTAACTAGTAAAGAGGACCTTAGCAAACCATTAACTAGTAAAGAGGACCTTAGCAAACCATTAACTAGTAAAGAGGACCTTAGCAAACCATTAACTAGTAAAGAGGACCTTAGCAAACCATTAACTAGTAAAGAGGACCTTAGCAAACCATTAACTAGTAAAGACGGCCTTAGCAAACCATTAACTAGTAAAGACGACCTTAGCAAACCATTAACTAGTAAAGAGGACCTTAGCAAACCATTAACTAGTAAAGAGGACCTTAGCAA